TATATATATATATATATATATATATATATAGCATGTCAAACGGGAATACAATCCGAGTGAAGTGTTGCAACATAGTAGTTCCATGCAGCAGGACAGGTCACATGTCAGAAGTATGCAAGTTAAAGATCAGGTTACCATAATTACTCAATGAGAAAAGCAACAAGCCACAGAACCTGCTCCTGTTGAGTGTGAAAGTAAAATAAATACAAAAAAAAAAGGAAATCTAAACCATCGCCTTACCCAGTGTTTGGGGAAAAGGTTGTGTCAAATGTCAACTTAAGTCCTTTTGTAATCTGTAATGATAAAAATTATGCAACTCAATTAAATTTTAAAACATACTGCTACATCAACTGAACAAACCGGTCTTTTTGTTTGTATCTGCGAGAATGTTGGAAGAAAACGCAAACCTGATCTTCAATAACGATCTCTGTTCCTAAGGTGTTGTCAGTATTCCACTTCTCAGTGAAAGTCAAACCATATTCAGGGCGCTTGTATTTGGTTTCCAGGCTCCCGGCAACTTTGCTGGTATCAGTGTTGGATGAACCAGATGTTTTGAATTCCTGCAAGGACACATAACAAAAAAAAAAAAGAAAAGAAAAAAAAAGAAAAGGCTGCAATCACTTTAAATTCATTGATTCAATAATAATAATTCATGAATCCATATGAAATAAATTTAGATATTACATTATATTTTGATAACATTTTTGTATTTCGTTACTAAAAGTTTGGTAACCATGACATCAATTAGAACTAAGCCACTGAGTATCAAGTTTATCTTCTTAAATAATAAGAAATTTGAAAAATCTAAGCGTCTTTTAAAAATTGATGAGCAGAGTATTACCGATACTTCCACCAACAGATCAACTGAAACAAGCTTTTTTCTTTTCTTTTTTACACCAATGACAATTATTTAGACATCAGTCAAACTGATTACCGATATGTGCTGATGATTTTTGGTGCCTTAAAGCTGATATGACCTTTTCTTCCTCCATTAAAAAAAATAAATCACACAATTAAAAAATTTATTTTACACAACTCTAAATTTAAAAACAAAAAAATCAAACATCATATTAACTATTCGCTATGGAGGAAGTGGCAAAGCATGAACTTTGCATGATCTAAGGGCTTGGATGCTGAACGGGCTATTGAATTGGCATATGCTTACACATATCGGATAATGCAAGTTAAAAGAAAAAAAAACAAAATAAGCTAATATTAGCCAAAAATATCAACATGCCTTTGTATATGCCCATCTATACTTCTAACCTTTGTTTATTTTAAAGCAACAAGGTGACCTAGTGACTTTCAACATAATTATTCTGAAGCAAAATCCAAATAATCTTACAACTCCACTAGCTGACTTTGTCTTGACATCAAGCTTCACCAGGCCAAATCCTGTAAGACAAATCAAATTCAAATATCAAAGTTATCAGCTTTAGCTGGAAAAGAAGAAGTTTCTATATCTTTGCCCAATTAAAGAAGAAAAACCTACCATAGCCTTTGTTGAAGATATCCTTGGCAGACTTGCCCAAATCAGCATAAGTGGGAGGCACGGCCATTGTACCTACAGATATAAACAACGACAAAAAAAAAGGTCACATTTGTTTTATGAATAATACATTTAACATTTTAACTCTGCGACTATGACCATATATATTACATTTCTAAAACAAACTTGCATATAGCCAAGTGGTGTTACAGAACAATTCGTGTACAATACTTGAGTCACTTAATTTACTCCAAAGGACAGTTTACAGCTTTTCTGATGATTTTTGAGCATTTCTGTGTTCCTGTATGTCAGACATTTGGAGGAAGTTTTCTTGTAGGTTATATAGCTAGCTCTTACTCATAGAAAACATATTTGTTGTGCACGAATAAGGTCTCAGCTCTGTTACACTGGTAGCCAAGTAATTGACATTTCGTTGTCAAGATTCACCCTATGTTTTTTGTGGAATGACAAAGGAAGTCTAAGTCTTTTCTTGTAGTTGTAGAGCAGGGTGTGTGTCATTTTGAGCTGCAACAGCCCCCATTTCATTGTCATTCTGAGTCACTGGGAAAGATCCTAAACCATAGATTGTTCCTGTGCCCTTCTCAGTGTGTTTTTTTATAAATAAATAAATAAATATAAAATAACTTACTGCATTGCTATAACAAAATGGTGGTATTGTGTTTCCTTTATGATTATTAACTTGATGTTGCTTGTAATTAGCTGTTATTAATAGAATTTTCAATGGGTAAAAACTGAAGGAATTATTTCACATAATGCCAAGATTTAATGCGGTTTTGTTATTTGTCAGTTTATACAGAGTAGAGGTAAATATCCTTAGGGAAATAATATAAATATATATTTTATTTTTGAATTTTGCAATGATTACGGCGACTAACCGTTATTCTCTAAAAACTATTTTCCTTTTTTACTATGACCTGCTCTCCTTCAACTTTAATGGTTTCATTACAAGGTTTGTAAACTTCGGGTGTGGACATAAAAATGCATTACAGGTAAAACAAATAACATGTTTCACGAAAAGAGTGATAAAGTATCATGACAGCTGATACTAAATGATAATATTACAGTTAAAAACTGCGCTCCACTATGAAATTGATAGACTTTATATCTAAAGGAGCTCATATCCATGCATTTGTGACCTTATGTTATAAAATCCGTAGCCGATGGCGCTATCAACAACTAATACAAATATTTATTCTAGCATTCTGTTTAAAAGCAGTTAAGAAATGTATTATCAACATGAGAGAGTTGATGGTGACCACCTCCTCCTCTGCTTTACTTTCTATTTGAACAATACCGACGCACCAGATAGTATTTCTGTGGTTCCGCAGACCGGAAACGTTACAGAGCATAAACTCATTATATGTTTTATTTATTTATTATTATAAGTCCGTTTTTAGACACAGTTGGAGGCGACAACCAGCGCGGATTCGCCTGCTTGCTTTAGCAGCAGGTCTCGGCTAGTTACCGCAATGCTAACAGGCCACTGATAAATAAAGCAAGACAAAAATTAATTCGTCGATTTATTCATTTTATGTAACCGACTTTGAAAATAACAAGCTTAGTGTTTATGGACAACGACAAACAAAAAACGTCCTGACAGAGTGCGTGTGCCATTCCAAGTTTTCTGATGCTACTGAAGCTAATTACGTTAGCCTGCAGAATGCCGGTATGAGTAAAACTAATTTCAGTTATGTCTCTTAGGAAAGACCGATGTTACAATAATAGATAAATGGGAGACTTACCAAATAAAAAAGATGCTAGTGTTATATTAAAGTGACTTTTTGGAGCTGTTCCCCACAACACACGACAGGAGCAGGCGTCACCGATTGGAGGGCGAGCTGAAGGAGACCGTTCTGCAACAAAATGCTGACCTTTCGGTTTCCGGCTCAGGGTCTATGGGTGGCCAAATACTTGCCTGAGTACAAATAGGTTCTCGTCGGATACTTTGCATTTAACGTTTTGTTTTAGAATGAACTGCTTTTTTGTTTTTACAAACGAGTCAAAACTTAATTAATGTATTTACTGTACAAAAAAATTTGTTCATTTATATTCAAACATAATATGACTATGATTTAAGTTTTTTTTTTTTTTACGAGTAAGATTTGGATATATATACTTCATTATACATTTGATTACACGAAGAAGATAGATAGATAGATAGATAGATAGATAGATAGATAGATAGATAGATAGATAGATAGATAGATAGATAGATAGATAGATAGATA